TGATCCAAAATAGACCAGCAAATTCACTTCTAAATGACAAGAAAAACAAAATAAAGACTTTGAACTGGCCTGGTGAAAGTTCTGAGCTGAATCCCATTGAGGTGCTGTGGCATGACCTTATAAAGGCAGTTCATGCTCGAAAACCCAATGTGGCTGAATTACAACAAATTTGCAAAGTGGGTCAAAATTCCTCCACAGTGCTGCTAAAGACTTGTTGCTAGTTATCGCAAATGCTTGATTGCAGTTGCTAAGGGTAGCCCAACTAGTTATTAGGTTTAGGAGGCAATCGCTTTTTCACGTAGGTTTGGATTTTTTTTCCCCCCTTAACAAGCACCTTCATTTAGAAAATACATTTTGTGTTCACTTTTTCTATCTTTGTCTAATATTTAAATTTGTTTAATGATCCAAAACATTTAAGTGTGACAAACACACAAAAAAATAGGAAATCAGGGAGGGGGCAAACACTTTTTCACACCACTGTAGTAAGAGATTTGCATTTTTTTGTTCAGTATTCACAATATTAGACTGGAGAGACTTGAAACTCAAAGACTCCTGAATTTAAACCCATCAAAGGATTCCACAACAGCTCAGCTGATGGTAAATATATTCACAGGGCAAAAAAAGCCTATTAAGATGTTTTTTTAACCAATGTCATCAATGTCTAAGCAATGTCAGCAGATCTGACTGATGATTTTGTACATGTAGATTTTTGTTTTGTTTTGTTTATTACAGTTAAAAGATACAGTTAAAGATCATCTTTTAAAATAACAGCCCAAAATAAATGTCCAGAGCCACTGTCCAGAGGCTGCCAAGTGACACGATTTGCTTTTAAAACAACTTTGGATTTAGTAATAATAATAATAATGATGGATTGGATTTATATAGCACTTTTCAAGGCACCCAAAGCGCTTTACAATGCCACTATTCATTCACTCTGGCATTCACACACTGGTGGAGGCAAGCTCTGGCCAACATCAGTAGGCAGTAGGGTAAAGTGTCTTGCCCAAGGACACAACGACCAGGACAGAGAGCCCAGGAATCGAACCGGCGACCTTGCAGTTACAGATACGCTTCCCAACCCCCCTGAGCCACGGTCGTCCATGGTAAAAAAAACAGTGCTTGGAAACAGTTGTTCGGTTTAGCTTTGTCCAATTAGTGCATTCTTTTTATGCCCATTTTCAATAGCCAGCATTAGTTTCCCATTTGTTATCACAGTGAATTATGGGCAAACTAGCATTAGCTGACCCTTATCCAGATCTGACAACCATATCTAAATTATCTAAAGATTTTGTATTCATTCAAACTATTTTATATCTTTTTCATGATTATAGCTCATGAAAATCAGAAGCATCTCAAATCACAAAATATTTTCTAAGACCAATCATGAAAAGAACTTCTAAAAAGTAGAGTTAAACACTGAGGTGGGGCTTCCAGATGTTTCTAACCCACAATAATAAAATGGTCATCAAACCATTTAGTAGTAGTTTTGGAACAGTGGACATGTGCTTTGGGAAAAGGAAATCAGCACCTCCATAAAGCTTGTCAACACATGCAAGCTTGAAGCACTCCATAATTTCCTGGTAGACAGATTTGTTGACTTTGGACACCACCTTACAAAAGCAGATGGCATGTCACTCTGAATCATTACTGGCTGCAGAAACTGCACACTGGACTTCCAACATCTTTAAATCTGTGTCCTTCCACTCGTCATCCAAACTTATGATCTTCATTTCAAAATGAGAGGCAAAGATGACTTTTATCTGAGAACCTCCTTCATAGCAAAAGCTCAGTTCTTGTTCTCCTAACCAAGGTAAGACATTGCTAATATTGCCTCTGGTTCAGGGCTGGCTTGATATTAGGAATGCAACGGTTGTAGTTCCTTTTATGAAGATGTTTTTGGATGATGACGCTTGATGTGATGACGCAAGCCTGAGTCTCTGTGAGGCTCTCACAAGTTCAGGAATTATATTTTCTTGATGATCGAACCACAACTGTGGCCATCCCAGTTGCGAGTGCACCTTTTTCTACTACGCTTGCCCATGAGTGCGATAGTGTGCACTGACCAATAAACACTGTATTTACACTGTTAGTAAAAACAGAATTTAAATATTCTACCAACTGGGGATACCGAATTTATGATTTCCATGAAGTATAATCCATAATAATCAAAATTAAAGCAAAAATTGGCATCATGTATTGCAATTCACCTGGAATGACTATGTAAGATATAAAAATTGTGTTTTTTAATTAAAATAAAAAGTAAGAAAATAAGTATCTGCAGTATGTGCTGTGATTCCCGGTGCTCAGCTTGAATTAACTAATGTTCATTCGTATGACTAAAACCTTCTTTGTAAGTCTCATCTTATCCCACCTTTCTCTACTGATATTCTTTACTTCCTCTTTCAGTGAATAGCCACTTCATTTTACTATTGTTTGTCAATTTCATATTTAACAACATTAAGTCACCCCACCCCCCCTTTCCCTCCACCACTTTACTTGAATCCTTTAAATATCCTCAACTTGAATGAAGACAAACTGTGGATAACTGAGATAATTGAACACTAACATGAGCTAGATGAATTAAGACATATGACAAGCCTTTTTTGAGAATGTTTTCTTTTAGGCTAATTCAACAATATAGTTAACAAGATACCTTTGGGTTTTCAATTTATTGGTTTGAATAACAAAAACACAAATTGAGTCTGCCTCTTTATTCAACTTAGAGTCATTAAACGCTCATCATCTCTATTGTGTATTGTCCCTAGGGATTCATCTTTGATGGTTACATTTCCAATTGTAAACTGCTCTGGATAAAAGAATCCATGAAAGCCAATCGAAATCATTATTTGACAGATAACAATCTTATAAAACTGTTGCTTTAAAAATGACTACAAAAAATTCCTAACAAAAAATCTCCACAAAAATTGTCACAAATGCTTAGTGTGGCTATTTAAATATTTTCCACCAGGGGCCACTTACGGCCCACGTCACCCCTTCTTGTGGCCTGTATATTGACGTGAAGAAATATAATGCAATTTGGCCTTTGAAGTTACATCTTTTTTTGTTAGGTAAGATGGAAATTTCTGATCATTGTATCAGAAGCACATTTGTGAGGTCAGACACCGATGTTGGACGAGAGAGCCTCGTTCACAGTCTCCGCACTTGTTCATCCCAAAGGTGTTCTGTTGGGTTGAGGACAGAACTCTGCCCTGTCTTCTCTTTGTGTTTGTCGAGTTGTCTGTGTGTCTCTTTCTCGCCCCTTGCCCTCTCTGGTCCATTGCTCTCTCGCTCCCTCTGTTCCTGGGGTCATGCTCAGCTTGTCCCATCTATTAGACTGTTGCCAGCTGTGTGTCCCAGGTGTTTCGTCTTTGCCCTGATTTCCTTGTGTATTTAGTGTCTGTGTCTCCCTCTGTCTGGCATTGCACTCCTCTTCATTCTCCTCCTGTGAGTTCTGCCTGCTTGTTTAGTTCCTGTTCTTTCCAGTTAAGTTTTTGTATTCGTTTCAGTCCAGCAATAAAGCTGAGGTTTGAGTTTAGTTTTGCCTTCTGGGTCGTCCAATCCTGCCTGCGTCACACAGTGCATGATGCATTATGAGGAACTTAAACTCCAAAAGCAGAACATCATCCAAATTAAAGGAGTCTGATGTAAAAGAATGTAAAGAATTAAAAAATAGGGCTAAATGTAATTCATAGATTTGAATGCATTTCAAATGTTGTAAATGTAAATTTCTATGTGTTATATTTATTCATTAGTACCTGAAAAGAAAAAAGAAAATCAATATTAAAGGGTTTGTGTATAAGAGCAGTGACCATCCTGTGGTGTTGAAGAAGCTTTAGAAAAGACTTAATTGATTTCAATGGATTTGAAGCAACTGAGAAGACTATAAAAACAGGGCACCTTCAGTGGTGAGTTCCATGTTCAATTTTTTTTTCTTAACAAAGACTCCCACAGGAATTCAGCTGACTCAACATTAAAGCGCTTCATGTCTGTCCTCTGTAACTTCAACAATTCTACTGACAATTTAACAAAAAAAATCCCCAAGGACCTCTTTGAAGAACCAAGAATTACATTTATCATGTGGGTCTTTAAGAGAGCAATACGAATTTAAAAGAGAAACCTTTTTAAATACTTTCATAAGTCACTATGAAAATGACAGCAAGCACAGATAACCCTGAAAATGCAGTTTACGATGGGAAGTAACCCTGTTGTCTTTCCTTTGTGGCTTCCTCTGTAGTACATCAACATATAATCAGTCTAGCAACTTCATGTACCATGTCTCAGCAATTACGCGCCAATCAAATACCAGAAATATAAATTTACAGACCTCTAGTTTTGTGCTTGTAGCTCAAAAAATACAGAGACAGAAGAACAAATATTACATTCAACTGTCACCACAGTTTCTGAGATCCAGTAGTTCATACTTCATAGTAAATATGAAAAACAGAGAGAAACCATAATGAGACTGGAATTACAATAAATGTGATTCTGCATGAGAAAAGAAAAAGCTGATGGAATTGAAAGGTGATAAAAGATAAATGGACAGACTCGAAGCAATTCCTGAAGAAATGAAGGAATGACAAATAGAAAAGACAAATTGCAATTTTTTTCAGGTGTACAAACTGAACTGTATTCTGACAAACGGTCTGTAAAGATATACTAAAAATTGTTAGAGATAAAATAAATAGAATGAATAAACAGTGCAGTAAAAGAGAGGGGGAGGGGGGGTGGATGGATAGATGAATGGATGACAAATTATGTTAATTAATTATGTCCCAATTACTTGTTTTGCATTCCTGTTACCTTCAAGTTCTACTTTCACTGTTTAGCCAACCTACATTCTTGCAGTAATCTAGTAGGCAAGTCCTTCAGTCATAGTCTGTTTTCCTGTGTTTGTATTGAGCAAGTTTTGTTCCTTTTTTTTTTTAAACAAAAATGATATTCTAGTGGAACATTGCATTAGTCAACTGATGCAATTTAAATGACTGTACAGTAGATACACTGTAAAACCCAACAGTGCATCTTACTAAAAGAAGTAAGTTGTTCTTACTCAGTTCTGAAAAATAGTTAAAGTAACTTTCATGAAGTGTGTTAGGTAGACCCAAACCTATACATATGATATAATAACTTTATTGTAATAAGTACACATTATGTTTTTGTAAAGTTTTAAGTAATGTTGCTTTAAACTGTTTAAGTTGTGTTAATTCATTTGTATTAGTCATCATCCACAGCCCCGCCCCCAGTGTTTTGCCTGGACTTGTCGGCCATGAGACAGGAGCCTCGTCAAGAGAGTAGGAAAGTACAAGATAAAGTTATTTTTATGTTTTTTTGTTAATGCTTACTTCTAGCATACAAAACGTACATTTATCAGACTGCTTTGTTTTAGTTGTACTTCGTTGTAATTTATCAGACTACTTTGTTGTAGTAGCTCGTAACTTAGCTTGCCAGCACACAATTCCCGCCTAGCGCTGTATGGAGTCTGCCTTCACAATTTAAAAAATTAACGGTTGGTGGCTTGTTTCAATCAATAGTTGGTAAGTAGTCTAATTTTTGCAAACTGCATGCCACAAAACCTTTGGTAAAATCAGTGTTTAGGCTTTTCTGACTCTGAACTTTATCAAGTTCAAATGTAGCCTACTTTTGACACAGTGAAAATAGTAGAAGATTTATTTAGTGTTAATTTTAAGAGTTTACGGGACAAGTTCGCCTTCACAAATTTTGAATATGATGGTTAGTGGCATTTTAGTCGTGAAATAATTTACCTTTTCAAAGCTGCACTGCACCAAACCTAAACGTTTCTGACTCTGTACTTTCCAAGGGTTAGCCTATTGTGTACTTCACTTGTGTAAAATTGCTTTATTATTTTATAACGTATAGAGTAGTTGACCAACCTGAATTGAAAATGAACTGTAGTGCAAGAATAAATCTTACTGTTTTCCAAGCTTGTGTTATTCAGATTGACTGTTTTTAAGTGAAGTAAAAGTCTAAAAGTAAAAACTGTTCTGCTAGCTTTCTGTCCTCATGGCTTTTGTGTTATTACAGTCTGACGATTGAAGGAGCAGTAGCATGCCGAGAGATCATCCAGCACTGCACTAAAGACAGCCAGTAAAGGTGATTTTAAAACGATTTGGTATCAAAATGTGGAATTGCAAGTTGTGTAGTTTTCTATTCTACTGCCATAAAAGTCATGTTGTTGAAGCATTATCGGCTCAACCATGGTCAGTACTCCACAATTTCACCCTTACCCTGTCTCTACAACACATGCATGTGTACATTTAGTACATTTAATTCATTAAAGATACACATGTCAACAATGCACACTCCCACGCAAAGAAAAGATGGTTCTTATCTAGATTTGAATAATTATGGATTTTGTTGCTCTATGTGTAATTTTAAGCAGCCATTTATTGAAAGCCAAATGTTTATCCATCTGAGGGGGCATTTAAAATGAAAAGAAACTGTTCCATGTCCTTTCAAGAACTGCAATTTTAAAACCAATGTCTACTCAACCTTCAATGCCCACAAATGCAGAGACCACCAAAATTCAACAAGTTACGATGAAGGCATTGTGCAAAGTGTTATAAATGTAGAACAAAAAGATGACATGCAGCTTGATTCAATAGAGTCATCAGATGACAATCAAGTGGCATCCACCAGTGAAATCAGTGGAATTGAGGGTTTAGAAGAGCAGTTGCAATACAATCTGGCTGGATTTTTCTTGAAAATGCAGACCCTTCTCCATGTGTCCCAGAGAGCAACACAGGAGATTATTGAGCATATTGATCAGTTGTTTTTGTTATCACAACCTTTGGTTAGAAAATCAGTTGTAGATATACTGAAAAAGCACAACTGTACATATACGGACAAACTGGTGGATGAGATTTGTCAGGCAGTTTCTGATAGTAATGTTTTACATAAATGTGTCACATCTGAAGGACCACTATCTACAGCAAAGAGGAGGAAATCATATTATGAAGAAAATTTTCCATATGTCAAACCTGTGGAGTATTTAATTGAATCGTCAAAGCACACTTATATGTATGTGCCTATTCTCACATCTTTGCAATTGTTGTTGAAAAAAAATGATGTGCTTGAAGAAATTAAACAAGCACCCACACAGATTCCTGGACATTTCATGTCATTTTGTGATGGATCCTACTACCAGGAAAATGTTCTACTGTCACAAGAGGGACAGAAATTGTCAATGATACTTTATGTGGATGATTTTGATCACAAACCCACTTGGTACCTCAAAGAAAATACATAAAGTCTTTGCAGTTTATTGGACACTGGAAAACTTTCCAGTTAAATCTCGTTCTGCTCTACACTGCACTCAGCTTGCTCTGCTGTGCAATTCCAATGATGTACGCCAGTTTGGGTGTAAGGAAATGCTGTCACCACTCTTAAATGATCTGAAAACTCTTGAAGAAGTAGGTGTCTACATTGAGACTCTTGGTGAATGTCTTAAAGGCACTGTCTACTCTGTTGTGGCAGACAACCTTCTGCCCATGGACTTGCTGGTTTCAATGAGAGTTTCAGGTCTACATATTTCTGTAGGTTTTGTCATGCCACCCAAACAGAAATGCAAACAGAAAATGCTGTTAAGGGAATTATGTAATGAGAACAAAAGATGCTCATGATAATTATTGTGCAAGAGCTTCAGAATGATGACATTAAGGAAAACTATGGTGTTAAAAACACCTGTGTTCCTTCTGACCATCTCTCTTTCTTTCATCCTGTCACAGGCTTCCCACCTGACTTCCTTCCTGAGATTGATTTAATCTCATCATATATGATGAGATTAAATCAAGCCCTGAAAGAAACTATTCAGTTTATTCAGCAATATTATATCGTGTTATGCTCACTTATTATGGATTGGAATTTTTAGTTTTACAATCTGATTCAAAATTGATCTTTAATTAAAAAAAAGGTCTTCATTTAATAAAGAGAAAAAGCTGCAGTATACTTTGGCTCTTACTCCAGTTTACTGTCCTAGACTGCTGATTACAGGTATTTACCCACCGAGCTGAAAATGAAACACAGATGACAATGAAGCTAACTTGTCTTGATGACAGTATTCTGTCCGGATAAAGGAAAAAGCAGAGAATCAGGTGTGATATTATGAATCAGGATTTTATGTAAAGTTAAAACATTTTTGTGTTGGAGAACTAACCATTAAGTATTAAATCAAAAATGTATTCAAACAGCTGTGCTTCCAGAAGAACAACTACAATTACAACTACATTACACAAAAGTTGTATCTTAGGGCTTTAGGCTAAAACACAAAAGGAACAGGTAGGATGTTTGAAGCTGTCACAATAAAACACAATGAAAACTGTTGGAGCAAATATTTTAATTCTTGGAGTCAATCTTTTGGTTTGCCAGCCAATAGTGGAATTCTCAAACTGTGTCTTTTTCCCAGTTCTTAGTCTTGGTTTCTCATGACGTCCTCCACCTCTGCAATAGATCTTCCATCTTGGTTTATTAAGGACAACTTTTGATCTGATAAATCTTGGTGTTCTTACAATTATAAATTTAAGTTTCGCTTTTAGTATAGTTCCTGTGTGTTTACACAGTAATACAGTCATTCTCATAGAAGAAAATTCCTTGCTTCTTTAAGAATGGCTATATCAGAACTGCTACTTTATGCTAAAAGTCTAGAAAACATTATTTTTATTCAACTATTATTTCTAGACGAGAACAATATCTATCAGACCTTTAATTCTGGTGATTGTGCTTTCTTAGTTCTGCTGGACTTAAGTGTTGATTTTAACAATGTCAATCATGATTAACCCATTAAGACAGAACACCTGGAACACTTTGAAGGAGTCAAGGATTTGGTTCTTAACTAATTTAAATTAAACTTATGACTTTTTTTTGTTAATATTGAGAAATACTACTCTGCATCAGCAGTTATGACATCTGAAATTCCATAAGGGTCTATCTAGCGTTGTTCTTTTTCTCTTTGTACATTTTTTAAAATTCGTATGCAGATGATTTACCTTTAAATCTTGGAAATTGCCGCTCCATATAAAGTCTCAATGAGTGCATCTTGGATACAATTAATTGATTGGGAAACACTTTTAATTGAGGTTAAGGAGATTGAGTTTGAAGGATAGCCTGGCTTTTTTGAGCCCTTTCATTTATCTCGAGTTAAAAATCTGAGGCCATAACAAAAGGGTGTGTAACCATCCTGCTCTAGTAGTAATCAGCCTGCTACTACAGACATGGTACCATAATGAATAATCTCAGAAAAATTACAATTTACAGACCAATTTTTGCCCACAATTGTTTGCTCACATGTTTGCCATATTCCCCCACTGGCTTTTAACTGAGCAATAATAATTTGCAGACCAAGATTCCTATTCAAAACTATAGCCAAGTGCAAACTCAGACTTTTTGTTCTTATCTGATAGCTTGTCATGAAATTCTTTCTGTCAGTAGAGAACTGGGAATGCTTCAGTCAACATAAGAAGCAAATATGTCCTGCAAAGTAACATATGTAGGGAAATGTGGGTGAGTGGGGCAGGAAAGAACTCAACAGAAAAGTTGCAGCATGTGTGCATGAGCTGGAATAGGCAATTTTGATTATTTTCTGAAGAATACAGACTACAGTAGACAGAGAAGCTAAAAGAGATGATAGACACAATCCATCAAACAGACACCTGCATGGTCATAGTGAAAGGGAACAAAAAAAACTACCTTATACAATGCTGAACACCTTGCTACAAGCAGCGCTTTATATGCTTACTCACAGCACACAATGAGATCAATGGAAATTCTTTTTTGTTTGCATTTCTACAGTATTTACATACTTTTCTACAAGCACCACCCGAGGCACAGTCACAAATAATTTTTTCATATGTCCTTAAATCACATAGCAAGTGCTCGCTGCTAAGTTCTGTAGGAACTATGCTTTCTGAAACTATAAATGTCAGTCAAACAGTTTGAGTGGGCTGACAATCTATTTTCTTTTTATTGTTTTTACTGTTCTCAGCTAGAACTAAAATGTGTGTCAGTCAAGTTGACGAGAGTTTCACTTGAGCTGTGAAAACAACGTATTGTTCAAAGACTAGAATTTCAGCATTCAGCATTTCTTTGCACACAAAGCTTTATGGGAGTTCAGTAATGGCCAGCTACTCTCCATGGCAGCTCTGGAGACACTCAATATCAAACTTCTTCTTATCTTGAACTTTGTCCTTTTTTTTCCCTCAACGCAAACATATTTTCCTTATAAAATCGCTTTTATAACAGTCGGTCCTGTGCAGTATCTTCCAAGTACACCACACTGTTATATTTTTTACATGTTGAACCACAAGGTAGTGTAGTAGCTGTAAAAGAATTATTATGCTCTTGTTAGGCATAAACATAAATGCTACAAATTTGTGTTTATGGATTTCATATGTATTATAATCACAACAAAAGCTGTTGCAACAATGTAATAATCTCAATGTACATTGTGCTGAACATGACTCTGTTTCCCTGAATCTGTCATTCTTCCATGTCATGAGAAGGAGAACAAAAAAAAGTGAAAATAACCATACCAATTTGTAGGACTATTGATTTCACGTTGTGGTTGTTGTCTGCAAATTTTGTACTTTCTACTCCATTTTATTAAGTTGTATAATTATTATTTTTATTATTTTACATTGTGTCTTATTTCAGGGACCATGCACAAAATACATAATGACATAAAAAGGAAAAGATGCCTTGTATCATATTTATCTATCAGCTAATTTCCATCTGCAGTCCCAAATAGGGATGGGTACCAGTGTCCGGTGCCATTGTGGAACCGGTTCTGACATAAACAGTAGTAACCAGACCGAAAAGCACCGCACAATTCGGTGCTTCATTTCGGTGCTTTTTTCCCTGAGAAATCTAGCCAATCACTTCCTTTCCCAGGATAGTAGGCGGGCCCAGGTACGTACAGGGTTTTTTTTTTTTTAGAGCAGAGCTAAAATGCCGAAGGCAAAGCGCTCGAGAGTGTGGCTGTACTTCACAGCAAAAGATATAAACTTAGCAGCCTGCAACAAGTGCTTAAAGGTAATAATGTGCAAAGGAGGTAACACCTCAAATCTAATGAAACACATGGCGTCGCATAGCGTTTTTTTAAAAGCCGAGAAATGCACCGCATTTGATAACTTGCAGCAAGACATCACACCTAGCACATCTACTGCGGGTGTGGTGCCTGTT